TTCAAATCCTTACTTTGACACTGATGAGCTGTGAGCTGGGCCAAGGGCCAGCCCCTGAGTTGTGCCTGGAGGTGGTAACTGCACCTATCCACAGGGTTTCGGTAGGGTAGCTGCGAGAAGGGGAACTTCTGGGACTTCTCCTCCGACGTGGAAAAGATACATTCTCGCTCTTACTAAATACTACTGACTGTTCTCCAAACCGGCGCTCCCTGTTTGCACTCCCACTGGACGTGAACGAAGGGCTCGTTTCCTCCCTCTACTGCTGCTGCGTGTTGCTTTCACTTTCTTAATTTGTGTTGAAGTTTAATTCATAGGTGCTATAGTATATAAATCTTGAATGAGCAGCTCAGTGGATTTTTAAAAAAATAAATTGTAGCCGAAACCGGTTTGGCTCAGTGGTAGAGCGTCGGCCTGCGGACTGAAAGGTCCCGGGTTCGATTCCGGTCAAGGGCATGTACATTGGTTGCGGGCACATCCCCGGTAGGGAGTGTGCAGGAGGCAGCTGGTCGATGTTTCTCTCTCATCGACATTTCTAGCTCTCTATCCCTCTTTCCTCCTCTCTGTAAAAAATCAATAAAATATTAAAAAAAATAAAATAAAATAAAAATAAATTGTATTGATTTTTTCACAGAGAGGAAGGGAGAGGGATAGAGCGTTAGAAACATCGATGAGAGAGAAACATCAATCAGCCCCCACCACCACCACCACTGGGGATGTGCCGGCAACCAAGGCACATGCCCTTGACTGGAATTAAACCTGGGACCCTCAGTCCACAGGCCAATGCACCATCCACTGATCCAAACCAGTTAGGGCAGCTCAGTGGATTTTTGCATATGCACACACTCCTCTCTGTAGCCAACACCCAGATCGTGATGTAGGGGTCATTTCAGCCTCAAGAAGTCCCCAACGCCCAGCCAGTGTGGCTCAGCGGTTGACCCAGGAACCAAGAGGTCACCAGTTCAATTCCTGGTCAGGGCATATGCCTGAGTTGTGGGCTCAATCCTAGTGTGGGGCGAGTAAGAGGTAGCCAATCAATGATTTCCTCTCATCATCATGTTTCTATCTCTCTCTCCCTCTCCCTTCCTTTCTGAAATCAAGAAAAATATATTAAAAAAGAAAAGAAAAGAAAAGAAAAGAAATCCCTAGCCACCCCTTCTTCATCATCACCCATTGGGCAACCACTGGGAGGATTTCTCTCATCATAGCTTAGTGTCACCTTGTCTTGAAACTTCATTGCAATGGGACCAGAGGATGAATTCTCGTGACTGACTTCTTTCACTCAATATCATGCCTGTGAGTTTCACCCATACAGTTACAAATATGGAAAACGCATCCTTGTTCCTCACTGCATACTATCCCACAGAATTAACCCACCCTGTTTGGCTTATCTCTTCTGGGTGCACATTGGGTTGTGCTCCAATTGGGAGCTGTTAGGAGTAAAGCAGCTGAGAGCATTTGGGGGCAAGTTTTTTGTGTGGACATTTGCATAGAACTTGGCTACAAATACAGGAATGGGGGCAGGGGGCGAGGCTGCAAAGGAAGTTATATGGATGCACACTCCCCACGGGGCCCTTACTGAGCGCCTGACTCCGGTGAGGGAGAAGTTTTATTGAACACCTACTGTGTGCTAGGCATGGGCTGGCTTTGGGATACATCAGGAAGAAAGAAGGGGTGCCTGCCTTTGGGGCTTCTGCAGCTGGAGAGGGAGGATGCATTAAATCACTTTCCCATGTCTCTCTCCCCGCTGCCCCACCATCACCCACTTTTGGTACCTGCCCCCAAGCCAAACACATCTGATTCATGCCTTAACCTTTCCAGGTAGGTCTGAATGTGCCCATTTTATAGGTGAGAAAACTGAACATAGGGGAGGTGTCCCAGTTGCCTGCAGACTGAAGGGTCCCGGGTTCCATTCTGGTCAAGGGCACATGTCCAGGTTATGGGCACGATCCCCAGTAAGAGACAGCCTGTCGGTGATTCTCTCTCATCATTGATGTTTCTATCCCTCACCTTTACTTTCTGAAATCAATTTTAAAAAAATAGATTTTTAAAAAGAAAAGCCTTCAGGTTCTGGCTGGGTAGCTCAGTTAGAGCGTTGCCCCAATACTCCTAGGTTGCAGGTTCAATCCCCAGTCAGGGCACACACAAGAAGCAACTAATGAATGCATAAATAAGTGGAATAGCAAATCGATGGTTCTCTCTCTCTCTCAAGTTAAAAAAAAGAGAGAAAAGCCTACAATCGCTTATCAGAACAGGAATGAGCACAAAAGAGCAAACTGGCTGCTGCCTTTGTTGAATAAACAGCCCTCTAATCACGGCACAACTGACTTTAAGAAATAATGTGGGAAAATGTGTGGAAAGCCACTAAGTTAATTTTAACTTCTCACGTGGCAATAGCTAATTAATAATCCCGTTTTGCAGAGTGGGGGAGAGCAATGATGGGCAGAAAGGGGAAGCCGGTCAGCCATGCTCCTCCAGCAAGTTGGGGTACATGCAGAAAGAAAACCCCCCGACTTGCTTGCCAGGCCCTCATGGGCTCCAGGGCCAGCCAGCTGCCCTGGTCTGAGACCCAGGTCCACTTATTGGCCAGGAGACTTTGGGAAGTTATGTGTTTTCCATCTGCCTCTGTTCCCCACCTATAGAATGGGAAGATTCGTGACGGCTCCCCCAGCGGGCTGAGATGCGGATGAGGCTGACATCCACCAAGTGCTCAGACAGCGCCTGACTCAGGACTATGCCCAGTGCTAGCTTAGCACCGTTAGTGTGAAGAGATTTGCTCCCTGCCAGATGTACAGCTCACTTTGGGAAACCCCAGTGATTCATTTAAGCAAAAGGCAGGAAAGTAAGTGTTTGGAATGAAACTAACTCCATGGTTCTCACCCTAGGGTGATTGGGCAATTTATTTTTAAAATTTTATTGATTATGGTATCACATCATTGTCCTGATTGGACAATTTCTGAGGGCACCTGTGGGGTCACGCCTGGGGAGGGTTTTCCTGGTATCGAGTGAATGAGGGTCAAGGATGCTGCTCAACACCCCACAGTGCCCAAGGTGGCCCCCCACTGAGAATGACCCAGACTCAAATGTGCGATGTGACCTGACATAACCTGAGCATCAGGCCCGGTCACTACACCATCTTTGCACCTGAAGCTGGATCTCAGGGGTGACAGTGTGGGACACAGAGGGAAAGGCCCCCACCTGAGCCCACACCGGGGACCCACGTCCCACCACTGAGCTGGGGTCAGGCATCGCCCCGACAGCATCCAGGGCAGTCTGCCTGGCCCTCGGGACCGTGCAGCAAACAGAGCGAGCAGATGTGTTGTGTTGTGGACGTGGCTGTGAGTAGCAACCCTGCTCCCCAGCTGTGTGCTCCCACTTTGTCATCTGTGAAGTGGGGGCACCTAAACGGCAAGGCTGAGGTATCTGTGCGTGAAGTGAACGGAACAGCCTTGGCCAGAGAGAGAAATGAGAGGATTCGGCTTCAGTGTTGTAAGCAAAGGTCAGTGGGAACACAGCCAGTGATACAGTGGACAAGCTGAGTCCTATTCATTGGCAACTTTTTAAAATAAATACTTTTATTGATTTCAGAGAGGGAGAGAGAGAAACATCAAAGATGAGAGAGAACCACTGATTGGCTGCCTCCTGCAGGCCGCCTACTGGGGTTTAAGCCCACAACCCCGGCATGTGCCCTGACTGGGTATCAAACGTGACCTCCTGGTTCATAGGTCGACACAACCACTGAGCCACTGCAGTCAGGTTCATTGGCAACGTTTACTCTTTGCACCTGGTGGGAGTTCCTTGCAGCTGCTGTCACCAATGAGCACAAACACAGAGGCTGAAAGAACCACAGCAATTCATCTTACAGTTCTGGAGGTCAGAAGTCCGAAATGAGTCTTAGGGGGCAAAAATCAGGGTGTTGGCTGGCTGGTTCCTTCTGGTTCCTCCAGAAAGAACGTTCAAAGAAGAATCAGTTTCCTGCCTTTTCAGCTTCTGAAGGCGCCTGCATCCTTGGCTTGTGGCCTCGTCCGTCTTCAAGGTGAACAGCAGAGCATCTTCCCATCTCCGCTTCTGTCCTCACATCTCCAACTCTGACCCTGCAGCCTCCCGCTCACACGGGACCCTTGTGATGACGCTGAAGCCCACCTCGATAATCCTGGGTCATCTCTCATCTCCAGATCCTTAACTGGATCCCATCTGCAAAGTCCCTTTGCCATGGAAGGTCCCGGGATTAGGATGTGGACATTTTGGGGGCCATCCTGCCACACTGTTCCCCCACACACCTACAATAACGACGGCACGGGCAAGATCCCACACGCCAGGGCAGGGATGGAAGGTCCCTGCACCGGCCCTTCTCAGCAACGTCCAGGCCGAGCAAGGGTGGTGGGCACATGGCTGATATTCATTATGGGCCCTGTCTGAGGCACTGAGTGCCAAACTTCAAACCAGCAAGTCCATCCCTGCCCACCCTTGTGAGCAGAGCAAAAATTCCAGCCACAGGGACACCAGAATTGCTCAGCTGCTGGGAACACACAGACACACACACATGCCTGTACTCAGCTGCAGATAAAATTTATTAAGGCAACACTGAAGCTCCAGGCCCCTCCGGCCCGCCAGGCAGGCCCCGCCCCTCCCGCTCTACCGTGCACCCGGGCACCCCCTGCCGCAGGAGGCCCACTTCACAGACCAGAAGTCCAAGTCCGGGCCTAAAGACAGGTCTCTGGCCCTTGATGTAGAAAAAGAAGTAGGATAGAACAGCTAGATCCCTGGCTTTTAGGGAAGAAAAAAAATATTTTTGAAACCTTCTTCTAAAACATTTTAAAACCTTCAGAAAACCATTTTTCAGAAACCTCACATCAATGACCAATGAGGTAAGGCAGAGAACACTTCCTCCAGGCTCAGAATGGTCTGTTTGGAGGATCCCAGCTCCCCAGGCATGATGGGCTGGGAGGCAAGGGGGTCCAGTGCTCCTTGCTGATCGCTCGGGAACCCCCTTCCTGCTTCTCCTACTTCTTCTCTTCTGGGGCCTTCTCAGCGACTCCAGGGGCGAAGGGTCCCACCACCCAGGTGATGGGCGTGTTCTGGGACACGTACTCGACTATGTGGTCAAGGGCCTCCCGGGCCTTGGCAACGCTCTCGCGGCTCTGTTTCAGGATGGAGTTGGACAGGTCCTGGAAGGAATGAAGGCCCGAGAAGGTGGCCTGGAGGTCCTCCACGTGGCGGCGAGCCTGGTGCACCTGGTCCTTCACGTGGGCGGGCAGCCCCTGGAGGCTGGAGCCCAGTGAGGTGCAGGTGGCCTGCAGCTGCTGGGCGATGTCACGCAGCATGCTGAGCGTCTGGAACTCCACCTGCTGAGAAGGGAGAGGGGGGTGGGGGCAATCAGGATCACGGCTTTGGGAAAAGGGAAACGGGGTTCTAGCGCCCGCCTTTAGGAAAACCTTCCATAGGAAGACCGCCCTGCACTATCGTTTGGAATACCGGTTCTTAGAGTTTTGGGGTTTTTTAAAAAATAAATTTTGTTGATTTTTAGAGAGAGGGAGGGAGAGAAAGAGAGAGACATCTACCCGTGTTTCCCCGAAAATAAGACATCCTCCGAAAATAAGACCTAGTGCATGGAAAGATAAGGCATCCCCTGAAAATAAGACCTAGTGCAACTTTGGGAGAAAAAATTAATATAAGACACTGTCTTATTTTTGGGGAAACAGGGTATGCGAGAGAGAAACTTCAATTGGCCACTTTCTGCACGCACCCGACTGGTGATCAAGCCCACAACCTGGGTATGTGCCCTGATCGGGAATTGAACCCTCCACCTTCTGGGGTATGGGATAATGTTTCAACCAACTGAGCCCCACCAGCCAGGGCTGGCTCTTAAGAGTTTTTTGTGTTTTTTTTAAAAAATATATTTTTTATTGATTTTGTACAGAGAGGAAGGGAGTGAGATAGAGAGTTAGAAACATTGATGAGAGAGAGTCATCGATCAGCTGCCTCTTGCACACCCCCTACTGGGGATTTGCCCGCAACCAAGGTACATGCCCTTGACCAGAATCAAACCCGGGACCTTTCAGTCCCCAAGCCGACGCTCTATCCATTGAGCCAAACCGGTTTCGGCTCTTAAGAGTTTTGAACCGTGAGATATACACAGGTCAAACAGGCCCAGACATTTCCCCAAAGAAGACACACAGATGGCCAATAAGCACAAGATGTTCAACTTCACTAGCCATTGGGGAGATGCAGCTCAAACCCACAGTAAACCCCCTTCACACCGACTGGGACAGCTTCACGCCAAAACGGAGAGCAGTAAGGCAGCAAGGATGGGAGCCGATGGAGCCCTGGGCCTGGCCAGTGCAGTCACTGTGGAAAACAGACTGGTGGTTCCTCAAGATGTTAAACCACAGTTACCACGGAACCCAGCAGTACTCCGCCTCATAACTACCCGAGAGAAATGGAAACATACATCCACACAAAAACCTGCACAGCCGTGTTCAGAGGAGCACTATTCACAACAGCCCAAAGCAGGGACAACCATCTGGTGAACCTACCATCTGGTGAGCAGACCACACAACGCGGCCCCTCGCGGGAACATTACTCAGCTGCGGAAGGAGTGAGGCGCCGACGTGGTCAGCTGGTGGGAGCGCTGTCCTGCACACCAGGCAGGGCACACCCCCAGGCTGTGAGCTGGGTCCCTGGTTGGGATGTGTGCATATTAAAGAAAAAGGAAAAAGAGACCTGGGGCCTGGGTGCTGGGTGGCTCCATTCTGAACTTAGGGAGATGAGGAAAAATCAGAAAAGGGGACTAAAAAAAGAGGGACTGGGGAGGCCCAAAGAAGTGGGAAGCAAACTAGGTGAGGATGTCCCCAGCAAGAGTCCCCAACTTAGGATGGTTCTGAGATTTCAACTTTATGATGGTGCAAAAGCGTATGCACACTTTACATTTTGAACGTGGATCTTGTTCTGGGCTGGCGATGTGTGGTCCACTACTGTCCCGTGGTGCAGGCAGTGGCAGCCAGAGGATTTTGCCCAACCGAAGGCTAATGTATGTGTTTGAGCATGTTCGTGGTGGGCTGGGCTTAGCTGTGATGGTTGGTAGGTTAGATGTATCAAATACATTTTTGACTGACAATATTTCCCACTTACCATGGATTTATCAGGAAGTAACCCATTGTAAGTTGAGGAACATCTGTATACTATAATAAAAACCAATGAATACTTTAAAGGGGTGAATTGTATAGTATGTGCACTATATCTCAGTAATTATAAATTTTTTTTTGCCGAAACCGGTTTGGCTCAGTGGATAAGAGTGTTGGTCTGCAGGCTGAAGGTCCCAGGTTCGATTTCGGTCAAGGGTATGTACATTAGTTGCGGACATAACCCTGGTAGGGGGTGTGCAGGAGGCAGCTGGTCAATGTTTCTCTCATCGATGTTTCTAGCTCTCTATCCCTCTTCCTTCCTCTCTGTAAAAAAATCAATAAAATATATTTAATTATAATTTTTTAAAAGTATAAGATATTTTTATATCTCAAAATTGATTTTTTAATAGTTAGGGGAAAAAAGAGAAGGTCTAGAAGAACGTTCTAGGCAGAAGTTCCCCAGCCAGGAAGGAGATAGAGCAGGACCGCCCTGAGCACTGTCAGCTGAGGGCTCTGGACTTGAACCTGCAAGGGAGCTGCTGACAAGAGTCAAAGTCTGCATCTTCTGCTGCTGCATTCAGCAGTGGGAGGAAGACACAAGGTTTCGGCAGTTTGGGTCTGAATGCTGAGCAGTGATGCATTTATAGAGATAGTCATGGAGTTTTTATAAATGTCACTTTTATAGCAGATGTGCTTCATTTATGAACTCACTTAATCATATATATATATATATATATATATATATATATATACACACACACACACACACACACACACACACACATATATACATATACATATATATATCTCACATATAAGAAAATTCACCCTTTTAGTGGTTTTTAGTTTAATCATGAGGTTGTGTAACCACCACCTCTAATTCCAGGACATGCCATCACCTCCAAAAGGAACTCCCTCCTCAGCCCCTGCAGCCACTAATTCACTTTCTCTCTGTGAATTTGCCTGTTCTGGGCATTTCACATAAATGAAATTATATTTATGTGTTTTTTGGTTGTCTGTTTTTGTCTGGTTTCTTTGATTGAGCCTATTGCCTTCACAGTTCATTCATGTCCTAGTGTGTATCACTCCTTCTTACATCTGAGTAACATTCCATTGCATGGATGGGCCACATTTTGTCCATCCATCCACCCATCAGTCAGCTGTTTCCCCGTTGTGGCCACTGTGAACAATGCTGCTGTGAGCATCCAAGTACAAGTTGAGCTAATTTCACCTTAACAGCCCTGCAGATGGTCTTATTGTTGACATCTGAGAGGCTCTAGTGTCAGTACAGGCCTCAGACGGGGGGTATGGTTCGGAATGAGGCGTGAGAATTGTGTTAGATGTTGTTGACTCAATGAAAGCTGAGATGAATGATGGTACAGGTGGCAAAAGTCAGAGCAGGGTACAAGGGGCCAGTGCGTGGGCTAGACTGGAGGAACCAGTTACTAGGAGCCAGACGGGTGAAATGAAGATCCGATGGGACGCTGCGATAGGGGAGGGAAGGTTACAAAAGTTTTAAGACGTAGCTTAGAACTCAGGAGGTTGAGACACATCCCAGGTTGAGAAGCAACACCCACACGCAGGAGCGGAAACCCAGGCAGGCTTCCCAGGGGAGGTGCGGTGAGTCCTGAAAGCAGTTAACGGGAGGCAGGCGAGGCTGGGAAGCATTTCAGGCGGTTGGTCCACCAAACACAGGTGTGGAAGGGGAAGTCAGGGCCCCACGCACCATGCCCGCCCCACAGTGGGTACCTCTGGCTGCGCTAGGCTCTTCTCCATGCCCTGGCGCTGCTTCTGGTACCAGTGGAGCCACATCTGGTGTAGTTTCTCGTTAGCTTCCCCCAGCTTCTGATCGACGTCGTGCTTGACACTCTCCATCTGGAGGAGGACAGAGAGCAGTGAGAGGCTGCCTCGGCCTGGCCAAGCTCAGCAGCCCCAGCACATTCCAGGGGAGGGTGTTTCCACAGGAGCCCGGGGAGCCCTCCTTTTCTCTGAGATCCGGGAGGTCAGGGAGGAATTTTTACATGCTGTTTTTATATGCTGTTTCCATAGCTACCCGGTGGCCACAAATTTTCTGCAGCCATTTTCCCATTTTGTCTGTTTTCCCCTCCCCTTGCACCAGGCCTGGCTGCCTGACAGGCTGTGGCCAACAGGTCACAGATGGAAGAGCAGAGGCTTAAAAATGCTTGTGATGGAACATTATTCAGCCTTAAAAAGGAAGGCAACGCTGACAACTGCTACAGTGGGGCTGAGCCTGGAGGACATTATGCTCCGTGACATAAGCCAGTCACAGCAGGACAGCTCTGCGACTCCACTCACAGGAGTCCCCAGAGGAGAAGATCCACAAACAGAAAGTAGACGGTGGGGACCGGGGCTGAGGGGAGAGAGATGGGAGTTAGTGTTTAATGGGGACCAAGTGTCAGTTTGGGAAGATGAGAAAATTCTAGAGATGGAAGGTGGTGATGACTGCACAACAGCGTTGAATGTGCTTAACGCCACGGAGCTGTACTTACAAATGGTTATGAGGGTAACATTGTGTTACATGTGGTTTACCACAATTAAAAATATTTTAAAAGAGAGGAGACATAGTTAGCAGAGGAAGTTAATAACAGCAATTTAGCTCTTTAGGGAACAGAAAAATAAAAGACCTGGGTGGGGGATTTGATTGTAAAGAGGCAGGGGGAACTGTATGGGGTGATGGAAATATTCCAAATCTCAATTTCGGTGGCAATGACATGGCCATTTGTATTTATAAAACTCCTCAAGTGCTACCTTTGGAAAGGGGTGGTTTTTATTGTGCGTCAATCATACGTCTATGAAACTGACGTTCAACAAAAGGAAAAGTGCTTTGTGCTCTCACCGCACGTGGGTCCCTCAGGCCACTTCCGGGGGAAGCGCTGTCTTAGGGGAGGAGCCCACAGAGGCCCAGCCTCCGGCCGGCCTGTCCCCTCCACATGCACATGCTGAAGCCCTAACCCCCTGGCCCTCAGTGTGACTATACTTGCAGGTCGGGTTGTCAAAGAGGAGGGCCTTACTCCGTGTCTGGTGTCCTTAGAAGAAAAGACCAGGCACTCACAGAGGGACAGCCACATGAGGGCAGAGGAAGAAGATGGCTATCTGCAGCGAAACGGGCAGACCTCAGGAAAAACCAAGCCGGGCAACACCTGAACTTGGACTTCCAGCCCCCAGAACTGGGACAATGAGTAAGAAATGTCTGTTGTTTAAGGTGCCCAGACTATGGGACTCTGTTACGGCGGCCCCTGCAGACTCACGCAGGACCACAGCCCATGGACCAGCCCAGTGGATGTGGAGAATGGTGAGCGCGGGCCACTAGGTTTGTGAAGGTTTGTGAAGCGGCTGCTGCCTGCGATGTCACGCCCCCTCGCCTCCCCCACCCCCTCCTGGGCGGGGTCTCACCAGGCTGAGGGCCTGCGCCAGCTGCAGCAGGGCCTCCTGGGCCCTCTGCCTGGTTTGCTGCAGTTTGCTCAGCGAGTGTCTGAAGGCCTGCTGGCGCAGCCGCTCCGACAGGGAGCCCAGGCGCACAAAGTAACTCTGCTCCTGCCGCTGCTGCTGCACTGAGGCGATGGAGGCGACGTCGGCGCCCTCCAGAGTTGTGGCCAGGTGGGCTGCAGGGGGGGCAGAAGCATTAGGAAGGCTGGGATGCAGAGAGAGCAAGCAGCTCAGGCTCCCCGGGTGCACACTTCAGAGTACGTGTCTCGCATGGACTGCCCAAAAGTTTATGCGGGTCTGATGCTTGCAAGCTTTGAGGCCTCGGAGTGAAGGACTTCCTTGCCTCACTTTTCCCCACCTGCGAAATGGGTGTGATGAGAACCAAACTTCCCAGGATTAAAACATATCTTAAAACAAAACAAAACTCTGCATTTTATAAGTAACCTGATTGAGGTTTAAATCCAGACTTACTAGGCTAGCACAAGGGTCTGCAAACTACACATCCAAATTGTTTCCGGTTTTGTACAACCAATGAAAACAATTATGCATGTTCCTTATACATACATTGTCTTTGGCTACTTTCGAACTACAACAGTGGAGTACGTGGGTTCTTGCCCCACATAGACTAAAATAATTATTATAGAGTCCTTCATAGAAAATGTCAGTTGACCCAGTACCAGTGCCTGGAATATATTAATAGTGGCCAATCTTTCACAATGTTCTAGATGCTTCCTGTGAATTCCTGTCAAATCTTAACAGCTCTGTGAGGAAGGCACTGTTCTCCCACTTTTACAGTTGAGAAAACTGGAGCTCAGAGGGGTTAATCGACTTGCCCAAGGCCACACAGCCTGAAAGGAGCACATCAGGACTTGGAGCTCAGCCATTTGACCCCGTGTTCCCCACTGTACTTGATGAGAGAAGTTTGAGCTACATGAGAAGCTTCTTAATAAGCAGTGATAACTAGTCCAGAAAGTGCTCATGCAGATATAAGACAGAGTATGGAAACTGCCTTTCCTGGTGTTATCCTGCTCCTTTAAACTTGAACTTCGCAGTGAAAAGTTTGCACTTAGTGACCGGGAGGTCACAATTCCATTACCAGACAGGGCGCAAGCATGGGTGGCAGGCTCAGTCCCCAGTAGGGGGCATGCAAGAGGCAGGTGATCAATGATTCTCTCTCATCATTGATGTTGCTGGCTCTTTCTCCCTCCCTCTCTCTGAAATTAATAAAAACATATCTTAAAAAAAAACACAACTTCACATTTTATAAGTAACCTGATTGGGGTTTAAATCCAGACTTACTAACTCACTTGCTTTATAAAGACCTATGGCAGGGAGCCACAAACTATGGCCTGAGCCAAATGCCACCTGCCCTTATAAATAAAGTTTTATTGGCACATAGTCACACACATTCATCTACCTATCATCTATGCTTTCATGCTATGATGGTAGAGTTGAGCAGTTGTAACAAAGATTGTGTGGCTCAAAAAGCCAAAAAATATTTACTACCTGGCCTGTTAAGAAAATGTTTGCTACCCTGCAGTCTAAGCAGAAGCCATTTTGCCAGTAAACCTCAATTTCTCCTGTACCACCACGTAAGCCAGAATCCCCTGAAGTGTGAAATTTGGACTAACCTATATTCAAAAGAGGCACACAAATGAAAGTTTAGCTATTTTTTTATTATTTACAGCCAATTATATGGCTTTTTATTTATAGTAAGTGATAAAGATTCTAAAACAATCAGGAAAATTTAATATAAAGATGATCAAATAGACCTGGCCAGTGTGGCTCAATGGTAGAGTATCATCACAAAGGGTCGTGGGTTCAATTCCCAGTCAAGGACATGTACCTGGGTTGCAGGTTCATTCCCGGTCCAATTTGGGGCACATGCAGGAGGCAGCCAATGGATGTGCCTCTCTCTCACACTAATGTTTTTCTCTCTTTCCCCCTTCCTTTCACTCTCCCTAAAAATCAGTGGGAAAAAATATCCTCAGATGAGGATTTTTTAAAAGATTATAAAATAAACAGTACAGGGAACACAAACATATGACCAAGATAACATGAGAGATGAGCTCTGGTCAGACCGGACAGCAGAGCTGTTCTGATGATAAAGTGAAACCTCCATTTTAGCCACATATTATATTTGTGCAGATCCTCTGGCTCAGGCACTGTATCAGAAGTGAAAGGCAGTGGAAAATAAAGCAATGAAATCCTATGTTGACCTGTTGTGTGATAAGGTAAGCTTTCAATCAGAAGACTTCAGTTATTTTTATAAACATGAAATTCTGGAATAAACATACTCTAATCCAGGAATTGGCGAACTTTTTCTGTGTGGGGCCATACAGTCAGTATTTTTGGTTTTGTAGGCTATACCATGCCTCGATTACTCAGCTCTACCTTTGCCATGCCATAGAAGCCATAGACGAGAATATAAACAAATGGGTGTGGCTCTGTGCCAATAAAACTTTATATGTAAAAGCAGGTAGTAGACTAGATGGGCTTTATAGTCAGCTTGGGAAGAGATGTCCTAGAACAGTGGTCGGCAAACTGCGGCTCATGAGTCATATGCGGCTCTTTGGCCCTTTGAATGTGGCTCTTCCACAAAATACCACATGTGGGTGCGCACATACAGTGCGATTGAAACTTCGTGGCCCACGCACAGAAGTCAGTTTTCGGCCTGGGCGAGTCCATTTTGAAGAAGTGGTTCTAACACCAAGCCACACTCAAGGGGCCAAAGAGCCATATGTGGCTCACGGCCACAGTTTGCTGATTACTGTCATAGAAGAATTATTTCATGCTGACATTTAAAAACCTGAACAGCCGAAACCAGTTTAGCTCAGTGGATAGAGTGTTGGCCTGCGGACTGAACGGTCCCGGGTTCGATTCTGGTCAAGAGCATGTACTTTGGTTTCAGGCACATCCCAGGTAGGGGGTGTGCAGGAGACAACTGATGGATGTTTCTCTCTCATCAATGTTTCTAACTCTCTCTCATCAATGTCTCCCTTCCTCTCTGTAAAAAAATCAATAAAATATATATTTAAAATAATAATAATAATAAATAAAATAAAAACCTGAACAAAAAAGACATGCAACAATTTGAGGCAGTAAAAATAAAAGCCTGTTTTGTGAGAAAAATGGATTCCTCCCTATTCTCCACCAAAGGGGGTTTGCAAAGACTAACCCAAACTCTACTGATTTCTAGAACTTCTCCATGGCTCTCTGGGCGCTCCTGAGCTCGGTCCTTGGAAATGAAAGCAGCTTTGTCATTTAGGCCAAGTATATCTGGCAGTCCTGGCATCTGAGCAAGCTGGCAAGGTCCCATGGAGGTGCCCTGGGCAAAGGGAAGAATCCTGGGGGAGGGGAAGGGCTGTTCTCCTAACCCGAACCCCAGACTAACACGCCTAGTTCTTCTTAAATATATATATATTTTTATTGATTTCAGAGAGAAAGTGACAGGGAAAGACAGAAACATCAATGATGAGAATCACTGATCGGCTGCCTCCTGCACGCCCCCTACTGGGGACTGGGCCTGCATGTACCCTGACCTGGTTCATAGGTCGATGCTCAACCACTGAGCCACCGCACCAGGACACACCTAGTTCTAATAAGACACTGCAACAGCTCCTCATAGCTACAGGCGACCCAGAACCGTAAGCACAGTGTGCACAGTGATTTCATCCTTAGTGGATGGTTGCAAAAAAATCAAAGCTGCTCAAACGGATCTGTTCTCAAGACCTTCCTCCAGCAGACCCTGCTTTCTCCTCCTGCCTTCAGGGGCCAAGGCCCACAGCTGGCTCTTACAGAGGCTCCTACTAGGGCAGCAGGCACTGGCCTGGGGTTCGGCAGGGAAAACATCAGCCAGGACCCATCCTTCAAGAGGTTCAGAGTTGGGTTTTGGAAATCAAAAGGACAAGTGACATGCCGCGCTCAAGCCACTTGCGGCAGGACTGGAGCTCGCCAGCTCTCCTGGAGCGCCTCCGGAGCACCGGGGCCTGCCCTCCCCCCGAGCTCCAGGGAGAAGCGTGGATCGCGGCTAACTCGAGAGGGTTCCCGAGGCCACAGATAATGGGACAGATGAAGTGTCAGCAAAATTGACACTCCGGACTGGAATATGTCGTGCTAATCCATGTGTTCAAACCTATAACACAAAACTGCTAAGGACCCATGGAGGGCGCTGGTGAACCCGCCTATCATGCTATTTTCCTGCTCTTCCTCAATAAGCTGTACCTCGGGGTAATCAAAATTAGCGAGAACTTTCTCCATGGAAGTGTTCCAGCTACAGAGAAAGAAGCGACACTTTCACAAGCGATCTGTGGGAATCCCAGATGGGAAAAGAGCTGGAGATAAAGTTGGCTGTCCACCCATCAGGGAATCACGTGATTCCACATGCTGTATATGAAGTTCCAGAACAGGCAGAGCAGCGGTTCTCATCTGGGGGCAATTCTGCCCCCCAGGGGACGCTGGGCAATGTCTTGGGACACTTGTGGTTGCCACAACTGGGGTACTCCTGGCATCGGGTATCTGGGGGCCAGAAATGCTGCTTAGCCTCCCACAGTGCCCAGGATGGCCGCACAGAGGGCGACCCGGCCCCAGTGTTAGCAGCGCAGCAGTTGGGAAAACCCTGATGTTGCCCATCTTCAACTTTTTTCTTTCTCCCAGATATTTGGCTCCTCATTCAAACAAACCAGCCATGGCCGGTGGCCGGGGCCAAGCTGCCCTTGGAAGGAACATGGGCTTCGCTACCTGCAGCCCTCATGGGCCTCGCTGCCGTGGGCATTGGAAGCTGACAGACTGGCACACTGAAAAGTCCTGGCATGTGACAAAGAAGGCCATCTTTCAAATGTGGCATCAAGAGCCACCCCCAGAGCCATGGGCATGAGAGGACAAGTACAGACCATGAGCAGGACTGGCTGCTTGGTCTCCGATGGTTTTATCCCCAGTTTGTCTATTTGTCTTCATTACTACCCCACCTGGTTCAGGGCCCATTTTCAGGGGCCTGGACCGGGACAGCTGCATCTGCCCTGGTCTCTCAGCTCCCACCCTTCTCTCCCAGCCTGTCCTCCCAGCAGCAGCCACCAGAGGGTGCCTGTAAGCACCTTCCTCAGGTCCAGTGGCTCCTCTGCCCTCACCCCCCATCTCCATCCCCAGTGCTCCTTCCTCGGGTCAGACCCTTATTCCTCACTTTGGCCTACATTGCGCTGCAAGACCTGCTCCTGTCCCTCCCCCTGCCCTCACTTTCTCTCTCTCCTCATGGCTGTGTTTCCAACATACAGGCAAGGCTCTGCTTCCTGGTCTTTGCGTGGACTGTTCCCTCTCCTGGGACCATTCTCAACCTAGACATCGAGATGGCTAGCTCCCTTCTGCCTCCAGCTCTGTGCTCAAATGCCACCTTCCCATGGGACCGCTAACAATGCAAACTTTCTCATCCATATTGTGTCCTGAAACCCTCTCCCACCCGCTCCTGGCACGCTGATTTTTCTCTCTCGAACACTGGTCACGGTTATATCATCAGTACTGCAAAGAGGCTTCCGTCTTGCTCACTGATTGTATCCCTGTGTCTGGAACAGGGTCTGGTGCTCAGCAGGTGCTTAAATCCTGAATGAAATCACCCAGACTCTCCTCTGTTGTTCCCTCCCCACCCCCTCCCCCCACCTCTGGCATTAGTTTGTTCTTTTAAATGTTCATGCAAGTGGACAGACTCCAGGTAGCTGAGAGGGGCCCAGGTTGGGAAGCCCAGGGAGGGGTCTCAGGCCCATGGGCCACACTCACCCAGCTCCGCATCTGTCATAGGCAGGTGGTTGTCCATCCATTCCTCTGACTTGCCCAACACTGTGTCCACCCCACTCAGCACCATCTGGCCCATGCGGGACCCCATGACCGACTGAACACCGCTGGTCACCATGGACTTGGTCTTGTCCATGCCGCTCTGCACAGCTTCCCGGGTCACATCCACTGCCTCTGTCACTCTGGTGGCCACTGTGTCCTTGGCGCTGGCCACTGCTTCTCGGGCCCCGGACACCTTAGACGACACGAGCTCCTTGGTATCCGCCAGGACCTACAAGGCAGGCCAGCATCAGCATCTCTGCACTCCCTCTGTACCTAGGTCGCCCCACGCCTGCACCCCAACCTCCAGGGAGGCCCTAGGGAGGAGTTCCAGCTCTTGGGTGATCCCAAAGGATGAACACTGAATCCAATATTACAGTTAAGACCAGGGGGGGCTATGCGGGAAGCAGCCAATTGATTTTTCTCTCTCATCGATGTTTCTATCTCTCTCTGTCCCTTCATCTCTTTCTAAATATCAATAAAAACATATATTTTAATAATCAATGGGGAAAAATATCATCGGGTGAAGATTAACAACAACAAAAGTAACTATTTAAATTTACAATAATTAAAGTTAGTAATTGAGTTCTTCAATCACACTAGACACAGTTTAAAGACTCATAGCCTTGTATGGCTCATGGTTTTCTTTCTTTTTTTTTTTTAATATATTTTATTGATTTTGTACAGAGAGGAAGGGAGAGAGATAGAGAGTTAGAAACATCGATGAGAGAGTCATCGATCAGCTGCCTCTTGCACACCCCCTACTGGGGATATGCCTGCAACCAAGGTACATGCCCTTGACCGGAATCGAACCCGGGTCCCTTCAGTCCCCAAGCCAACGCTCTATCCATTGAACCAAACGGGTCTCGGCATGGCTCGTGGTTTTCATATTGGACAGTGAAGAGAAAGTACATATACCTCAAAGAAGTTCTACTATGCAGTGCAAAGCTAGAATCTTTAATAGGGAAAGGAAGGCCCTGGCCGGTTTGGCTCAATGGATAAAGTGCTGGCCTGTGGACAGAAGGGTCCCAGGTTCGATTCTGGTTAAGGGCACATGCCTGAATTGCAGGCTTCATCCCCAGTAGGGGACGTGCGGGAGGCAGCCAATCAATTATTCACTCTCATCATTGATGTTTCTATCTCTCTTTCCCTCTCTCCTCCTCTCTGAATTCAATAAAGATACATACATATATATATATATATATTAATATATTTTATTGATTTTTTACAGAGAGGAAGGGAGAGGGAGAGAGAGTTAGAAACATTAATGAGAGAGAAACACTGATCAGCTGCCTTCTGTACACATCCTACTGGGGATGTGCCCACAACCCAGGAACATGCCCTTGACCGGAATCGAACCTGGGACCCTTGAGTCCACAGGCTGACACTCTATCCCCTGAGCCAAACCAGTTAGGCTCAATAAAGATATATATTTTTAATAACAATATAAATGAAAAACCTGGTCCACAAAGAAGGTACTGCATGTGTAAAGGTCCTGGGCTAGGCCTGAGCAGGTGTTCACTGTTGCTTTCCTCCCCTCCCCAGAGTGAGTTCCATGAGGGCAACAACTGTCCCACTACTGTGTCTGATGTTACTGAACACTGAGTCTGAAGGCCAACATGGCTGGAATGGAGCAAGAGAGGTGGGCGATGAGGGCAGGGAGATGGTGGGGCCAGATCAGGTGGGGCCATGTGGGCTGTGTGTGTGTGTGTGTGGTGGGGGGATGGAGCTTTGGCTTTTTTCTGGGCAGGTGGGAAATGGGGGGGTTCTGAGCAGATCTGGCTGGCATGGAGATCATTCATCCACCTGCTCAGTGGGGAATGGGTTTGGGGTGTGAGGGGCATGCAGAAGAGGGTCAGGGAGTCAGCTGTCACACGTGTCTATTTCACTAGTGGTCCAGGTGGACCACAGACTCAATACCCAGGCAGGTCCCTGTGCCCAGGGCTCCCGGTGGCGGCGGTCTGTACCTTCTCCGTCTGCTGCTGTAGGATAGGCAGGTTCTCTTCCAGCTTGTCCAGCCCCTTATGGGCATATTCACTGGCTGATGTGACTACAGGGGGAGGAACAAGACAGAAATAGGATGGTTACTGCACGTGAGCATCCCAAGGGGTCCCGGGAAGGTCAGCCCCTGGTTTGGGGGGGACAGGGCTGGGGGTGGGGCAGACCCTCCCAAAACAGCCAGGAAGGGAGGTTCCATGTTCCCGGGGCTTCACTCACTCTGGGGCTCCAGCTTGGACAGGATGGGCTGGGCCCCACTGACGGCAGCCGCTGTGAGGGTCTTGACGCCTTTCTCCGCCGCGTCGCAGACTGTCTTGACGTGGGGGTGGCTCTCCTTGGTGGAGGTGTAGGCTGCCGACACCATGTTGCAGGTGGTGCTGATGAGGGGCATGTTGGCCACGCGGTCCACCACGCTGGGCTGCGGGAGAACAGCCGAGGTGGGCCGGGCCGGGCGTGGCGAGGCGGGGGCGCTGGGCCGGAAACTCAGGCACCAGCACTCTCTCCCTCTCTCACTCACGGCCAAGGAAACAGCTCAGCACACCCTGGAGGTTGACACACGAAGCTGCCCAAGCCGGAATTTCAGAGCTGCACTGAGCTTCCTTTGTCTTAGCTCCGAGGCCCATGTGTTTGAATGTGTCTGACACCCACTGTGCGCCAGGCAGTGACAAGAGACAAGAACCCTTCTCTCGCAGAGCTTTCGGTCGGAAGCTGGGTCTGCAAACTAGGCCCATAGCCCAAGTCGTCCCACCACTGGACACTCTTATCCTTGTCTGGTTTTTTCCTAATAGCTTGATTGAGATCAAGTTCACGCATCATAAATGTCACCGTTTTTTAAAATGCACAATTCCGTGGTTTTTAGTAGACTCACAAGGTTGTGCCATCATCACCACTCATTCTAGAATTTTTCCATCACCCCAAAAAGGAACCTGTAACCATTAACAGTCACTCATTCTCCCCTCCCTCCAGCCCTGGCTAGTCTGCGTTCTGTCTCTATGGATCTGCCTATTCTGAACATTTCACATAAACAAAATCATATCCTCTGTGGCCTTCTGTATCTGACTTCTTTCTGAAGGATGTTTTCAAGATTCATCTATGTAGCAGCATACATTAATGCTTTATTTTTTTTAAATTGTGGGAAAATGGCCGGCACCGGTTTGGCTCAGTGGATAGAGCGTCGGCTTGCGGACTGAAAGGTCCCGGGTTCGATTCCGGTCAAGGGCATGTACCTTGGTTGCGGGCACATCCCCAGTAGGGGGTGTGCAAGAGGCAGCTGGTCGATGACTCTCTCTCATCGACGTTTCTAACTCTCTATCCCTCTCTCTTCCTCTCTGTGAAAAATCAATAAAATATATTTAAAAAAATAAATAAATAAATAAATTGTGGGAAAATGTAGGCAACATCAAATTGACCATTTTTAAGTGTATAGTTCAGCAGCATTCACATTGTTGTACATTCAAACTGTTGCACAACCACCACCACCATCTGTCTCCAGAACCTTCTCATCCTCCCAAACGGAAACTCTGTCCCCATAAACACTCAATCCCTGCCCCTGGGTCCCACCATCTACTCTCGTCTCTGTGGGCCTGACTCCCCTGGGAACCTCATGTTAAGTGGAGTCACACAGCGCTTGCCTTTTCTGTGTCTGGCTTATTTCACTGAGCATATCTTTAAAGCTCATCTGTGTTGCAGGACATGTCAGAACTGTATTCCTTTATATGGCTAAACACCATTCCACTGCTGCTGGTTTGTAAGTAGTTTTATGGTGCACAGCCACGCCAGAATAGGTAAATCCACAGAGAGAAAGCAGAGTGGTGGCTGCCGGGGGCCGGGGCCGGGGGTGGGGGTAGGGGAAGGAAATGGGAGTGACTCTAACGGGATGGGATTTCCATTTGGGCTGATGAGAAAGTTCTGGGATTAGAGTGGGGATGGCTGCCCACTGTAAGTGTACTTAATGCCACTGCACTGGATACTCTTTGAAATGGTTAAAATGGTATTTTTCTGTTAAGTGGAATGAAGCGCTGACACACACCGCATGGATGAACCCCTAAAACATCACACTCAATAAAAGAAGGGTCACACTCAGTAAAAGAAGGGTCACACTCAGTAAAAGAAGCCACACAAAGGGTCTCGTAGAGACTGAAACTAGGGTGGTTGCCGAGGGGAAAGGGAGGTGGGGTGGGGGTGACTTCTACTGGGTATTGGGTCTCTTTTGGGCAAAATGAAAAATGTTCTAAAACTGTACGGTGGTGATGGCTGCAGAACTTGATAGTTCACTGAGAGTCACTGAGTAGCACCCTCAAAGGGAGAATTTAATGCCATGGAGGTGATACCGCAATAGTCTATGAAAAGGGGCTTTTATTTAAACTGGGGGTGGGGGTGGGAGGAGGATGGGGACTGACTTCTTGGAACGGCATCCTAAGAGGACCTCCAGAGGCAGAGGACATTTTTCTGGGTGGTGGGGAGCCAGGCAGTTTCACACTGTACCCCTGTTCTCCCAGGAGCCCCTGGATTCCCAGCTCTCCTGCCCCACCTGCTAGTGGGGCACCTGTCGGAGCTCTGCCAGCTGGCTCTCCCCACCCCGTCAGAAAGACCGCTCTTAACCCCCATGTGCGGCCAGCATTGCCCTGGCTCCCTTGCACGGTCCCATGATGTGGCAAACCTCACCCCGTCCCCGCAGACCTTCCTCACCTGCTGGACAGGTTCTTCAGCTGTCGCCTGGGTGTTGGCAGGGGCTTCTGGCTCATTGGTAGACATTTCTCAGAAGCACACACTGTGGACAGATGGACTAGTCAGGTATAGTCCGTCCCACACCTGCACTCTGACAACCCCAACACACCCCAGTTCTGAGAGCCCTGCCTTTCGGTCATGAACAGGCACCTGTGGGCCGTTCAAGAGCAGGTGGTGATTCAGCAGGGCTGAGAGCCTGCAGTTTTTTTTGTTTGTTTTTTTTAATATATTTTATTAATTTTTTACAGAGAGGAAGGGAGAGGAATAGAGAGCTAGAAACATCGATGAGAGATGTGCCCACAACCAATGTACATGCCCTTGACCGGAATCGAACCTGGGACCTTTCAGTCCGCAGACCAACACCCTATCCACTGAGCTAAACCGGTTTCAGCGAGAGCCTGCAGTTCTAACAAGCTCCCCGGTGCTGCCGCAGCTGACCCAGGGCTACTCCTTGAAAGGCAAGGTCAGGGGGCAGCTCTCTGAGGGCTCACCTGTATCATTACTCCAGAAACACCTATGAAGCAAAACTGTAGAGCGCAATTTGCCAGCAGCTACCAAGCTTCAAGACGCCTCTTCCCTTTGGCCCAGAAACCTCACTGTGAGGACAATCTCACACTTGGATTGCCAAGTGGGCAGAGGCGGTGTACCTGTTTGCCCAGCAGAAGGGGACTAAAGAAAATACCAGATTAGCCCCGTCCCTGGGGGAAAAAAATGGGTATTTACGTATAATTGACAAGGACCAAGATACTGCAGAGACAAAGGTTTGAATGGGGTAATAAAAAGTGTTTACTTGCATTTGTACAGAATCTTTTTTTTTTAAAAAATCATCATCCAAGGATGTTTTGTTTTTTTTTAAATATATTTTATTGATTTTGTACAGAGAGGAAGGGAGAGAGATAGAGAGTTAGAAACATCAATGAGAGAGAGTCATCGATCAGCTGCCTCTTGCACACCCCCTACTGGGGATGTGCCCGCAACCAAGGTACCGACGCTCTATCCACTGAGCCAAACCGGTTTCGGCCCAAGGATGTTTTTCATTGACTCTACAGAGACAGAGGAAGGGAGAGGCAGAGGGAGGAAACATTGATCAGTTGTCTCCAGTACATGCCAAGACCAGGAATCCAACCTGAGATCTTTTAGTGCACAGGACATCAATCCAAACAACTGAGCCACCCAGCCAGGCTGTACAGAATCTTTAAAGAGACACAACTAACTGTTCAAGGTGGCCACCTTTCAGGGAGGCAGATTGGGTAGCTGCAGCAGGCTTCTGACTTTTTTTTTTTTTTTTAATATATTTTATTGATTTTATACAGAGAGGAAGGGAGAGAGATAGAGAGTTAGAAACATCGATGAGAGAGAATCATTGATCAGCTGCCTCTTGCACACCCCCTACTGGGGATGTGCCCGCAACCAAGGTACATGCCCTTGACCGGAATCGAACCCGGGACCCTTCAGTCCCCAAGCCGACGCTCTATCCATTGAGCCAAACTGGTCCCGGCAGGCTTCTGACTTTTGAGCCAGGTAGATAATATTACTTTTTTTTTTTTTTAATTTAAGCTTAAAAAACAAAAGGTAAAAGAAGCTATGAAGCTATTAGAAAGACCATGCCTGGCTCCACTGCAAGTCAGACTCAGGTGTGTGAAGGGTGAGGGAGGCTCCTCAGATGAGTCTGATCACACATTTGCAGGTGGATGCGAGCCACACATGTGCTTCATTTTCCTGGCCAGGTGAGATGAGATGGATAGAATAGCCTCACACTACCGTGTTTCCCCCAAAATAAGACCTAGCGCATGGGAAGATAAGACATCCCCTGAAAATAAGACCTAGCGCAACTTTGGGAGAAAAAATTAATATAAGACACTGTCTTATTTTCGGGGAAACAGGGTAGATTCCAGAGCCTCAGCTCTGCCCACACTGCTGTGCTGGGCAAGGAGCTTCCTCTCCGCTAGCCTCAGTCCTCTCCCCGTAAAATGGGGCTCACGGTAGTGCCAGCCTTAAAGGCTGGTCCCAAAGGCAGTTCTGGAGTGAGCCTGTTCAGAACGCCTGACCTTGATTCTGAGCTTCCTTCTAGCCCAGTGGTTGGCAAACTCATTAGTCAACAGAGCCAAATAGCAACAGTACAACGATTGAAATTTCTTTTGAGAGCCACATTTTTTAAACTTAAACTTCTTCTAACGCCACTCCTTCAAAATAGACTCGCCCAGGCCGTGGTATTTTGTGGAAGAGCCACACTCAAGGGGCCAAAGAGCCGCATGTGGCTCGAGAGTTTGCCGACCACTGTTCTAGAGGAAAGAAGCTCAGATGTGTTTCACCATCCCCAAAGTGCAACCTGATGTTTGTGTTTTTAAAATGCCTATATTTTTATTGATTTCAGAGAGGAAGGGAGATAAAGAGGGAGAGACATAGAAACACCAATAATGAGAATCATTGATTGACTGTCTCCTGCACGCCCCACACCGGGGATTGAGCCCACAACCCGGGCATGTGCCCTGACCAGGAATCCAACTGCGATCTCCTAGTTCACAGGTCGACGCTCAACCACTGAGCCAAGCCGACTGGGGCCAACTTGATGTTTTGAGAGCACCAGTTCTGGAGTTTTAACCGGTTTGCTTTTTAAAAAAGTTTTATTGATTTTGAGAGAGAGAGATGGGAAGGGGGCAGAGAAACATCGATTTGTTGTACCACTTACTTGTCCATTGGTTGGTTGGTTCTTGTATGTGCCCTGCAAGCTTGGGGGCAGGATGACACTCTAACCAACTGAGCCAGGGCAAAGCAGGTTCTGAGCCTAGCTTTGCTCCTCACCAGCAGTGGGAGCTTGCAAAGGCAGCGCCCCTCCTTGGAGCCTCGATAATCACAGCAATACCTCTTAGCTTAGAAATCTTTCCCAGCTCAGAGTCCCCACAGATTGGAGGAGATGCCGCTCCTGTGGTGCTTAGCCTGACACATAGTAGGTGCTCAATAAACAGATCCATGCTGAGGTGTACGAGGGAAACCATCAGAAATGAGAGTCCTGCTTGTTCCAGAGGTCCCAACTTGTTACAAAAGCGCTTCACCCAACCAGGAAGTGGGGTGAGGAGACACACTTGTCCCTGTTGATCATCACCTGAGTCCCCCTCACCTTCCCCTGAGCTCACCTGGGCAGCTTAGGGGTCCTCCTTCCCACCCCCTGGAACCTGTATAGCCAAGGACGACCCCTGCAGATGTCAGCACCCCATTCAAGTCCTCGGGGCGTCTACAACCTGCCTGCAGCGGGCTGGGACTGATGGAGTCGCCCAGCCGTCCAGTCCAGCGGCAGCCAGGATCGCTAAGATCCAAAGTTCCCAGTTCCAGGCCCAGCCCCTCCTCTCAGTCCCGACACAGGTCCCAAGGCCTTAGATAAGGGGTAGGCCTTCCCTCCCCAGCGCACCCCGGCCCCTTGTGCAATCCGCTGGGGGGAAAGGGGCGGGGCCGGCCACTGACCTCCGGGGTCAGAAGCGGGGCGGACCATCCGCGGGGAGGGGGCCTGCTCCCCGGGCAGCGGCGGAGGCGGGCTGGGCTCGGAGTCCCGGAGGGGGCGGGATTCCGGGGCAGGACGGCAGCGGCGCCTCCAAACAGCGTTTGGGAGGCAGATTCACTTCCAACTTGGCGAGGATGTGGTTTGGGACGGGGGTTTGTCCCCCGCACCTTCCTACGGCCGCTTCTAGGGGGCTCTTGCGCAAGTCCCCCCGAAAGTCCCGGGAACCGGGAGGAGAGCGGAAGCCCCAGCAATCGGGAGGAGAGCGTCTGAAAGTCTGAGCCTGGTCCACAAGTTGGATTGAGGGGGGGACCCCCCAGCTCCCGGAGACCCCTCCCCTCAGGCCGCAGGGGCCGGCAGGACCCCGGGGAAGGCCCTCCCCGCTGCTTCCAACCCTGGGACGCCCCAAGACTCGGCGGCCCCGTCCCCCACCTCCACCGGCCCCCGCCTCTCACCGCGGTCAGCGGGACGTCCGGGGCGCAGCGACCGGGACTTGGAGGCAAACTCCGAAACCGTCCGGGCAGGGCCGGGGCGGGCTTTTATATGGGGGCGGGCGCCGGGAGTGACGGCCCGGAGGACCAATCCGGTGGGGGGCCGTCCGGGCCACGCCCCCTCCGTCCCGGGACGTTGGAGCCCCCGGTGAAGGCCGGGCCGGGCCGGGCTGGGGGGCGGGGGCGGGCGCGCGCCCCCTGCACGTGCCGGGGGTTTGGGGAGACCCCGTACGACGCCGGGTCCAGCCGAGGGCGCCCCCGCCCCGTCCAGACCCCCTCAGACCCTGGCCCTGGGAGGGGATCGCCGTCCGGTGTCCCCGGGGCCTCCTTTCTTCGGTGGCCAAACCGAGACTGTGAGAACTCCGTGCGTCAGGGACCACGTCCCCACCGTGGTCACAAGGGTGGGGCAGCCAAACCCGGCCCGACATTTTAACATTTTTTAAAATATATATACTTTATTGATTTTTTATAGAGAGGAAGAGAGATAGAGAGTTAGAAACATCGATGAGAGAGAGTAATTGATCAGCTGCCTCCTGCACACCCCCCACTGGGGATGCGCCCGCAACCAAGGTACATGCCCTTGACCGGAATCGAACCCGGGACCCTTCCGTCCGCAGACTGATGCTCTGTCCACTGAGCCAAACCGGTTTCGGCATTTTATCAGTTTTAACCACAATGCTGAGCAGATCTCTAGTGCCTCCTGCCCTCCCTGAGCTGTAGGGCGCCCCTTCTCCAACACCTGTGTCCCCATTTCCCCATCTTACAGGAGCGAAAACTGAGGCTTAGAGATCGCCACCCAGACAATGCAGGGAGGAGGTCCTGGACATGACTCTCCGACCAATTCCTTCCTGAAGCCACACTCATTGGGATTTCCCCCCCTTCCAAAATAACTATCCTCTTGGTCTGTAAACCACGTTCTCCACTCACATATCCCCAGGAGTGGCAGCATGCCCTGCCTAGACAGGGCAGAGCATTGTCCTGCGGAGAACCACCTAGGGATGGTAGGTCCTCGGGAATTCCAGGCTGTACCAGTACTGCCCTGC